CCCCCCCCCGGCGCCGCCCTTCCCGGACGGAGCAGCCGGGGGCCCCTGATCGCCTCCCCCGGAAGACCCCTGGCTGGGGCTGGGCCAGACAGGGCCTCCCTCCAGTTTGTTTTGTAAAGCGGGTTTGGGTTTCAGTGCACACGGGTACCCGAGCCCTCGTCACAGTGTTTCCGCCCCTAAACGGACTGATGAAACCGACGTTTCAGAGCCACTGCCCCTGACTCCCGGCACGCACGGAGCTTGACCAGGATGTGCTGAGGCTCTGTTTACAGGGAGAGCTCCTGTTTCCTCCGCTTTGTAAAGTTTTGACCTCCATGAAGATGGTTTTACTCTGTGCCGTTAGAACCTGTGACTGTGACTTGTTGCATGGAGTATGAATCGGGTCCAAGCGCTCGACAGTTCTCCTAGAAAGGGCTGTGATCCCCGCTAATGCAGGTTGCAGGCTTGGGGCTCGGCTCAGGCTCTTTCTGGAGGGGCAGCGAGGCAGGAGCTGACTTAATTTCCAGCTTGTTTTTAATTTGCTTCTAGTTCCTAGACCAGGGCACCAAGAAGGTGCAAGACCAGTCGTCCGGTCACCTGCACCAGCCCCCAGGCACCCACTGGGCTTTTCTTGATCTTTCTAGTTCCCAGCAACCTCTCCCCCATCTCCTCTGCCCCTGTCTGAACTCCTCCCTGAATAACATATCCTGTGTCTTTCTACCCCGCAGAACTCCCTCGATGACTCTGCCTTTCTCTACGCCCTCCCCACTGCACACCCAAGACCCGCTCCCAACCCGTCCCAGTGTCTCCTGTCTGGGCCCAGGTAACCTCTGGATCCCTCTGTGACCCCTCCCTCCCCCTGTGCCACTCGTCTCCCTTTTTTAAAAGTTTCTGAGCCCTCTTCTCGAGTGGTTTTCCTTGGCGCCAGGCTTTCTCACGGTCCCCACTAGACTTTAATTCCCTCCCCTCCGTTTTTAAAGACAGCGGTGGGGCAGGGTCTTCCAGTGTAGCTCATTCGCAGGCACCGAGTTCAATCCCCAGCACTGCAAGAAAAAGAAAAAAAGATAACAGCAGGGAGAAGAGTGGGGGCAAAGTTGGATATTAAGGGCCTGAGAAATAAAGATAAGAGAGAACCCTCCACACACACTCAGGAGACGAAGGAGACCCTGGATGGACTGGGGGAACTGGCTCTCGGCCAGCCCTGCCTGGCTGGACAGCAGACTGTGGTCCCCGCTCTCTGACCTCCTCCCCCACCAGGCTGGCATGGCCACGCCCACAGTGGCCCAAGCTGCCCCGCCCGCCTGGGGTGACTCACTTCCTCTGTGTGGGCTGCAGAGGTGTCCCAAGGCAGGGGACAGGCCATCCAGCCAGAGTCTAGGGGTCTGAGCAGGCTCCTAGGACAGGCAAACACAGGGAGCCCACCTGGGAAAGGCGGGTCTTTCAAGGCCAGGCTGGGCTATGCAAAACTCAGGGGTCTATTTGAGTAAGGAGTACCTGTTTAGGCCGCGGGCCTAGGGCCGGGGATTTAGCTCAGTGGTTCTGCCGCCTGCCTTGAAAGCGCAAGGTCCCAAGTTCGATCCCCGGTACCGCAAAAAAAAAAAAAAAAAAAAAAAATATCCTAGACCTCGAGCCTAAACAGCCTCAGGTGCCAGGATTCTAATGAGAGCTAAAATAGCTAGAAGATGATGGATGGGCATGGGGGCACAGGCCTGTAATCCCAGCACTCAGGAGGCTGAGGCAGGAGGATTGCCACAAGTTCAAGGCCAGCCTCAACTACATAAGGAGACTTGTCTCAAAAAACTAAACCAAAACAAAAAAATAGCCAGAAGAGATTTCTGTTTTCTCAAATCAAACAATGTAAAGTATTGACTGAACAGCAATATGAGGCTTGTAGTTAGAAGGTGCATTCCTAAACAAAACAAAACCAAAACAAGTGGAAAAACAAAATGGGCCTGGAGTGATGGTGTGCATGGCTTATAATCTCAGCATTCAGGAGATTGAGGTGGGAGGATTGCCATGAGTTAGAGGCCAGGCTGGGCTATATACTGAGTTCAAGAACAGCCTGAACTACATACCAAGACTGTCTAAAAAACAAAAACAAAAAAACCAATACGTGTTCATGAGTCAATGGCTAAGCCACTATATGTCATTGTTCTGCCTCTATATTTCACTAAGAGGAATCCAAAATCAGCCCTACCTCCATCAAGGGATAAAGAAAACACAGAGGTAGGGCCTGGATTCTAGTTCTAGTTCCATCCCTTGGGTAGTGAGTCACACATTTTGGGGGGGTGGGGAACAAGTTCTCTCTGTGTAGTACAAGCTGGTTTTGAATTTGCAATCGAACTGCCTCAGCCTCCCCAGTGCTGGAACTCCAGCTATCGGCTTCCATGCCTGACTAGCCCATGTGAATCAGTAAGGAAGGGTGGCAGATTAGGTCATGAAGTCCTAAAATTTAGGGCACAGGGGTGGAAAGTGATTAATTTTTTTTGTACCGGGGATGGAAGAGAAAGTGATTATTAAATGTCAAAAACACCTCAGTCTAGTCCTCATGTTGAACAAAACGAAGTCCAGGGATTAGAAGTGGGAGAGTCCACCGAAGTTTTAGCAGGGCAGCCGTGAATACACCACACGCACACGCACACCCCACGCAGACTGTCTTCTGCCCCTGACTGGGCTCCTGTGTGCCTTCCCCAGCCTTGTAGGTCTTCCAGGGTCGTCTAGAGAGGTTAGGACGGGTAGAGGCGCCCTCACCCCCTGCGTGTCCTCCTAACCCTGCTTGGCACGCGCAGCCAGAAGAGGGTCCGAGGGGTTCCCAGAGCTACGGGTGTGGGGTCTCCGGCTGTGGAACTGCAGCACGGGGCCACCCAGCCTCCAGCACTGTCCAAGGTCCGCCTCGATGGCGTGCAGTGACCAGATACCTACTGAGCCTCTTCACTCACACAGCCTGCCCACCACGCTCACCCAGGAAGCTGCATCTTTCACCTGGGCCGAGCCCCTCAGCATCCGAGGCGCAGCAAGAGACCTCAAGTGGCCGCAAGGGAATTCGAGACGCGCAGTGGCTACTAATGCCCTCTTGCGGCCACGTTGGAAATGGCAAGTTGCCGGAGAGCCAAGATCGAACTTCTTAGAGACAATGTAAGCGTTATAAAATAATATTGTAGCGGCACTTATTGTTTTATATTAGTTAGGACTTTTTTTGTGGTACCATGCCCAGGATGCTCTCCCACTGACATCCACGTCTCTTATTTTAAATTTTTTATTGGAGACAAGATCTCACTATGTAGTTTAGGCTGCCTTAAACTCACTATGTAGCCTAGGCTGGCCTTGAACTCTCAGCGATCGATCCTCTTGTGTAAGCCTCCCCAGTGCTGGCAAGTGTTGGGATTACAGGCCTGCGTGACCACACCTGGCTCTTTTATTTTTAATTTTGAGACAGGGTCTCACTTAGTTGCCCAGGCTGGCCCTGAATTTGTGGTACTCCTGCCTCAGCCTCAAGAGGAGCTGAGATTATAGGTATAGGCCACCTCACCTAGCTGTTAGTTAACATTTTGGAAACTATGTAGTAGCAAATACACTCTCCTAAGTGTTGTATATGTTTCTTTGTTTTTTTGTTTTCCTGTGATGCTGTGGATTGAACCCAGGGCTGTGCATATACCAGGCCAGCACTATACCCCTGAGCTACATCTCCAGCCCTATATGTGTTTAATTCTCACAAAAGCCTATAACATAGCTAGGCATGGTGGCACATGCCTGTAATCCCAGTACTCTGGGAGGCTGAGGCAGGAAGAGTCTAAATTCAAGCCCAGCCTTGGCAATTTAGTAACTTAGCAAGACCCCATCTTAAAAAATAATAATACAGGGCTGGGGATTTAGCTCAGTGGTTCCACCACCTGCCTCCCAAGGCAAGGTCCTGAGTTCAATCCCCAGTACCAAAAATAATAATCATAATAATAGAGGGTTGGGAATATAGCTCAGTGGCACTGCACCTGCCTTGCAAGTACAAGGTCCTGAGTTCAATCTCCAGTGCCAAATAACAATAATAATAATAATAAACTTTTAAATTTAATATTGTTTTTAAAATAATAAAAAAAGGGCCTGGAATGTAGCTCAGTGCACAGGCCCTGGGTTCAATTCCAAGTGTGTGTGTGTGGGGAAATATATATATATATAATATATATATATGAGAGAGACTGCCAAAAAAATGTATAGATCAGGCAAAGAAAAACTTGCATAAACTTTTTTTGGTGCAGGGGAATCAAACTCAGGACCTTGCACTTGCAAGGCATGTGCAGCACCACTGAGCTAAATCCCCAGCATTTTTTCTCTATTTTGTTTGGTTTTTGTTTTTTGGAGTTTTTTTTTTTTATTTGGTGCCGGGGGATCGAACTTCGGTCCTTGCGCTTGCACAGCAGGCGGCAAAACCACTGAGCTAAATCCCCGGCCCTTTTTTCTTTATTTTGAAGATGAGTAAACTGAGAGAAGCCTGGCTCATGCTTTGAGCCCCATGCTAACAATGAGTCCCATTGTCAGGCTCTCAGGTAAAATACAGAACATCCAGTTAGATTATAATTTCAGGTAAACAATAGTTTGTTAGCACAGGTATGTTACGTGAAATATTTGGATCACACCTACTCCAGGAAATTATCCGGTGCTTGTCTGAAATGCTAATGTAACTGGGTGTTCCCAGTTTTATTTACTTAATCCAACACCCTCATCCACAGGACACATCTCCGCCCTCCGCCCAGCATGTGTGTCTCATCCCCTGAGGCCTCACCCGCTCCTCCCAGGAACCTTCCCAGGCCGAGTTCCCACTCAGCCCCTCCCACGGCCCACTCACACCGGGCAGGTTCTCTAGGGACCCAGCGCTCTAGCTCCACAGCTGGTGTTACTTCTATTTGCACAGGAGAGAAGCGAGGAGCTGTGATGGGCACTCAGAAAGGCCCCTTTGGGGTGCAAAGCGCCACAGGGCCCTCCTGGACTGGGTCTGGAAGGTGGGAGGGGAGGGGATGGTAGAGGGGGCACTCGGGTTCCTGAGCCCGGCCCCACGCCCGGGGAGGCAGGAACCCCGCTCCCCAGGCCCTAGGGAGCCAGCGGTGAGCTTCGCCTGCTGCTCTGCACTGACAGCCTCAGGACGAGCTGTTGTGGTTGCATCTCCTGCTCCCCTGGCAGCAAAAGGGCAAGGCTTAGGGAACTGGGGCCCGGAGCGGCCTCCTTCCCCCGGCGATTTGGGAGCCTGGTGTCCCGCCCACGGGGAACACCCTGCGCGTTTTCCTCTGTTGACTCTGCTGATCCGCTCCCACCCCTGCATACCTTCCCCTTCCTTCACAGATAGAAACGCCCGGCCCCACCGGCTCCCCAGGCGGGTTGGCCGTGCCGGGATCCCCTCTGGGACCTGGGCTGGGATGCCCTGCTGGTATGTGCCCCAACTGGTTTTTCTCTATCGCCTTGAAATCAGCCCGGAGCCCGTCTGACCTGCCCCTGGGAGCCGGAGCCCGGTCAGAAGCTGGGCTGAGCGACTGGTCTCCGGCCCACCCTCCCCGGCCCGGCCCCGGCCCCGGCCCCGGCCCGGCCCCGGCCCGGCCCCGGGGGACTTAGCGCACAAAGCCGCCTGCGTCCGGGCGGGCGAGGCCGAGCGAGTTCACCCGGGGGCTCCTGCGGCCAGGAGGAGATGCTAGGCGGGGAGGTGTCCTCTCCCGCGGCTGGGAGGGGCCGGGGCCAGGACCACAGCTGGGCTGGCCTTCAGCAGAGACCACCGACCGGCTGCCGGGCCTGCCGGGCCTGCGCTGCCCACGCCCGCGCTCGCTGCCAGGCCCTCCAGGAGCTGGGCCCACGCGGGAGGCGGCGGGCAGGACACCGCGGGGAGCAAGGGAGCCAGACCTGGGGGTGCGGCTGGGAGGGGCCTCGAGGTTACTCTCCTGTCCAGGTTCCTGTGTCCCACAAGGACACGGATTCACATTGGCTCAGACCTCGCAGCTGCTGACACAGGAGCAGCCGGGGAAGGCGACGGCAGGTGCGCCTGCGGGCAGGGCTTGGGGCTGCCTTGGCTCGGCTGCGGTACCTCAGCACCCCGCCTGCCCAGGAGGATCCCACCTGCCCAGGAGGATCCCTCCAGAGTGGGCATCTCCGGGCCAAGGGTTGAGGAGCCTTGGGTCCAATTTGGAGTTAGGGAGGGTGTGGTTGGTGCTGTCCACAGCCTCTCTGGTCAACCCTTTCTTCCTAAAGGAGGGGTGGGGAGGGAGGGGGTCTTTCCTTCCCCCTCCCCCTTCCCTTCCCCCTCCCCAAGCCCTAGCTCTTGCCCTCTGGTTCATGTTCCCAAACCACTAACAGGTTAATATCCCCCCCCACCCCCGCCCCGTCTTTGTCTGCAGCAAGGGAAAGGAATCAGCAGTGGGAGTCCAGGCGCCAGTGCTGAGGAACCTCGGAGGCCTGCCTGGGCCGTGCCACCTCCTCTTGCCTTCCTTCCCTAAGCCAGCTTGTACCATGTCTGTGAGCAGTGGAGAGATGGGCCCGTCACTGACCCAGGAAATCCTCAGCCACCTGGGCCTTGTCAACAAGGTAGGAGCTGCTAGGACTTTAGGAATCTGGTTTAGGGGGAGGATTTTGATTTTGTTTTTAGAGACTGGGCCTCACTATGTTGCCCAGGTTGCCCTCAAAACTCCAGACCCTCCTGCCTCAGCCTCCCAAGTACCTGGGATTATAGGCATGTGCCACAGCCCCCAGCTAGGAGTCCTTTTTAATGCATCTCCTCAGAGGCTGAGATGGTGGGAGAATAGGAAAGGGGGAGGGGCTGGCCGGGCACTGGGAGGGCAGGGAAGGCCCCTCCTAATCGCCCTGCCCTTACAGCCTGCAGCTTGGGGCACGCTGGGCACTCTCAGGACCTTCCTGAGCTTCAGTGTGGACAAGGATGTGCAGAGGCTCCTGAGAGCCATCACAGGCCGAGGTGAGCCCCTTCCCTCGAGCTGGGCTGTGCCTGTCGGAAGCCAGGAGGGACATGCTGCCACTCTCAGCTGTTTGTGAAACAGCCTAATCCCTGCAAGTCAAGCACCATAGGAGCATCCCACCCTCCCAACCTCTCATCGGTCCTCACAACAGGCCCCTGACCCTGTGACCCTGTGAGCTTATTATTCCCACCTTACAGATGAGGAATCTGGGCCTCAGGGAGGTTAAGACGCTTAACAGGCTTGCCCAAGGCCACTCAGTAGCACAACTGGGATTCTTTTTTTTGCACTGGGAATTGAACCTAGAGCCTTTGCACTGAATTACATCCCCAGCCATTTTTAATTTTTGGTAAAGGTGATCAAACTCAGGTCCTTGCGCTTGTGAGGCAGGCAGCGGTACCACTGAGCTAAATCCCCGGCCCTTTTATTTTTAATTTTGAAACAGGGTCTCATCCAGTCACTAACCTGATCAGGCTGGGCTCATACTGTGATCTTCCAGTAGCAGCCTCCCAGAGAGCTGGGATTACAGGCAGGCATACCTTGGAATTCAAGAATTAGAATTCTTTTTTTTTTTTGGTATTGAGGATCGAATTCAGGTCCTTGCACCTGCAAGGCAGGAAGCAGAATCACTGAGCTAAATTCCCCAGCCCTCAGAACTGGAATTCTAAACCAAGTTAGCCAATCAAAAAAAAATGGAGGAAGGGCCGGGGATTTAGCTCAGTGGTTTCGCCACCTGCTTTGAAGGCACAAGGACCCGAGTTTGATCCCCAGTACCCAAAAAAAAAAAAAAAAATGGAGGAGGCAGGGGATGGTGCTCGGGATTGAGCCCATAGCTACTGCACTAAGCTACATCCCAACCCCTTTTACTTTTTTTGAGACAAGTTCTTGCTAAATTGCCTAGGCTGGGCTCAAAATTGTAATCCTCCTCCCGCTGGGGATTTAGCTCGGTGCTTCTGCCGCTTGTTGGCAAGCATAAAGACCTGAGTTCAATCCCCGGTACCAAAAAAAAAAAGCAGAATCAAAACTGTAATCCTCCTGCCTCAGCCTCCCACAGTACTGTGATTACAGGTATGCACCACTGTGTCCAGTTTAGAACCGAGATTCTAGAGTCAGGCATGGTGGGGCACACCTGTAATCCCAGCAGCACTCGGGAGGCTGAGGCTGGAGGATCACATGTCCAGTGCCAGCCTGGGCTACACAGTGAGTTCAAGCTACCCTGAACTACATAGTGAGACCCTGTCTCAAAAACAAACAGAAAAACAAAACAAAAAGAACGGAGATTCTAAGCCATGTTAGCCAATCCCTAAAAGGCTTTTTTTTAACCATCACACCTGGAGCCCTTTGCCTAAACAGGTGTCAGATTTGAATGCTGCTTTGACATTTTATTTGCATCTTCTTTTTAGATAAAATGTAAATGGGGTGAGGTAACCCCCAGCTCCTTCCCTTCCCAGCCCTCCCCTAGACCCTGTTGTCTCCCCCACGGAGTAGGGTGGGGGGGTCCCAGCCCCGTGGAGCCCCTGGTCCCAGCCCCGCCATCCCCTCGCTCAGGCGTGGACCAGGGTGCCATCCTGGAGGTGCTCACGAATCGAAGCAGAGAGCAACGGCAGCTCATTTCCCAGGCCTTCCGGGAGCGCACCCAGCAGGTGAGTCAGACCAGACCCCCGGCAGGACTTGGGGTGCAGTGTGAGCAGCCCAGGCCAAGCCCTGCCCACAACTAAGATGACCTGAAAAACCAGCCAAATCTTCCCAAACCCTCTGCACTTCCGGAAGCCCTGACCCCGGGGGTCCTCATGCCTCTGCCATGGGGACACTTTATCCTAGGACCTGCTGAAGTCCCTGCGGGTGGCCCTCTCTGGAAACCTGGAGTGGATCGTGGTGGCTCTGCTGCAGCCTTTGGCCCAGTCTGACGCCCAGGAATTGAGGAAGGCCTTGAAGGTACTCGAGGGCGGGCAGTTGGGGGGCGGGGGAGCACACTGCTAGTGTCTGGGAATTGAGGACACCCGGAAGAAGAGGGCTCCTCCGACCGAGGCCTTGGGGGAAGCAGCCATGCCTGCTGTCTGCCCCTCAGCCTCCCTGAGGACATAGCCCAGCCTCAGAGTGGCTCCTGGTTTCCCGTAGGGCTCAGGCTCTGCTGAGGATGTGGCCGTGGAAATTCTTGCCACCCGAGCCCCGCCACAGCTGCAGGAGTGCCTGGCAGCCTACAAACACAGTAAGAATATGGGTGGGGTCCCCCGGGCTGCAGAGGCCCCTTCCACACTCCCTGGACACAGCCATCTGGGACCTGGACTGGCCAAATTTTCTTCCCTTCCAGTCCCCCTCCATGCCTGTCTTCCCAGGGCAAAACCCACATGTGATCATTAAAGAATGAGAAACAGTGATTCGTCCGGGGCTCCAGGACAGACTGCAAAGTAATGACAGCATTGAGCCCCGAAGGTGCCAGTGTCACCTCCCAAACCCTTGCTGTCGTCGCTGGGCACTCTGGGCACCACTGTCTGGCCCTGGCTGGTGGGCTGGCTGCCACCTGCCTCCCCCTAATTTGTAACCAGCTTTGTCTCACCTTCATCTCAGCTCCTCCCTTTTCCTCTGAGGGCTCCTCAGCCGAGGTCCTCGCCTCTCTCCCCTCTCTCCCTGCCTTGTTCCTTCGTTTGTTGTGGTGGGGATGGAAGCCAGGGCCTTAGAACTTGCTAGAGAAGCATGCTGTTACTGAGCTGCACCTTCACGTTTTCCTCCTTTCCCTTCCTTTTCTCCCTTCCCTATCTTCCCTTGCACACCCGTGGTCTTCCTCACCAGCCCTCTCTGCAGGGCCGGGCCCTAGCCGTCTCATTTTCCCTTTCTGCTCCACTGCTGGCCTCCGACAGTGGCTGGCTCCTGCCTGGTGGCATGGTGCCTCCGGCTGAGAGATGTTCTCAGGGCCTGGCGACATTTGGGCCTCACCTCTGGGGATAGGCAGCCACCCAGCTACTCTGAGCAGGAGACAGGCCTGGTAGGACACAGTGATCAGGCCATTGACAGACCCTGGGGGGGTCCACACTGGGATGACCAGGAGGAGTCAGAGAGCTCCCGGCCCCACCCAGGTTTCCAGGTGGACGCTGAGGAGGACATCAAGTCTGAGACCAGCAGCATCTTGCAGGACCTGCTCCTGGCCCTGGCCAAGGTGAGGAGGACTGGCCCCCAGAGAAGGACATGGGCGAAGCAGAAGCATTGCTGGCATTTGATAAATGAGGGGGCTTTGGGAAGCCCAGGTCTGGGGATAAAAAACTGTCCCTCGATGGTACATGCCTGTAATCCCAACATTTTGGGAGGCTGAGGCAGAAGGATCACAAGTTTGAGGCCACTCTGGGTAACTTAGCAACTTAGAGACCCTGTCTTAAAAAAATTAAAAAGGCCTGGAGTTGTAGCTCGGTGCAGAGGCCCTGGGTGCAATCCCCAGTAACACTAGAATAAATAAATAAAGTCCTCCTGAGAAGTTTCTCCTTTTAGGGAGGCCGTGACAGCTACTCTGGGATCATTGACTACAATCTGGCAGAGCAGGACGTCCAGGTGAGCCGGGTACCCAGGCCTTGGCAGGACGGCACAGAAGATACCCTCCCTCGGCCCATCTGTGTACCCAGGTCCTTTGGGGAGCGCTGCTGCCCCGGGAGGCATGGCCCAGGGCACGGCAGTCGCCTGTCTCTGTCTCCTGAACTCCCAGGAGCTCCTCAGCAAAGTCTGCTCTCCTGGGAGGCCGCCCAGACCCTGGAGTTTTCCAAATCAGGGGAGAGAGTTGTGAGGGCAGAGCTGGTTATCTCAGCCTGGTTCTTGCATAAATACGGAATACATACATACGCATGCGAGCTTTACACATGCACACGCACACACGCACACATACAAAACCACCTTTTCCACCCTTGATCTCATTTCACCATGACGGATTCTGGGGACAGGAAAGCATGGCTGGCTCCTTCCTCCACCCCAGGCACTACGGCAAGTGGAAGGCCCGTGGGTCCCGATCTTCACCCAGCGCAATCCTGAGCACCTCCTTCGAGGTACGCACGGGCCTGTGTGTCTCCCCGCTTGCTCTAATGAGTGGCTGAGGGAGGCGGGAGGGAGAGAAGGCCTCTGTGACCCATACTTCCGCCCCACCGTCAACTGCTCCTTCTGATACCCCGAAGTGTGTGATCTCTACCAGTGGCGCACAGGGCGAGCGCTGGAGGAGGCTGTGCGAGACCGTTTCCATGGAGATGCCCAGGTGGCCCTGCTCAGCCTAGGTAGGGGCCCACCGAGGCAGCGGCGGGGTCTCCCAGGGATGGAGAGCTGAGGCCTAACCCTTGCCCTCCCTCCATGCTTCCCTTCGCTTCCAGCCTCAGTGGTCAGGAATACACCGCTGTACTTTGCTGACAAACTTCACCGGGCCCTGCAGGTGAGGAGCTTCTCCCTTCTCCTCCCTTTGGAACCAGAGGCAGCTCTTCCTGGGCAAGGGAGGAGTTTCCGGGTGGACAATCTCACGTGTACTTTGAGGGTGAGGCAGGAAGACCGAAAGTTCAAACCCAGCCTATGCTATTTAGTGGTTTAGCGAGGGCCTGTCTCAAAATGAAAAATAAAAAAATAGGCTGAGGGTGTACCTCAGTGTGGAAGGCCCTGGGTTTAATCCCCAGGGCTGGAAAAAAAATAAGTACATTCTTTGTTATCAGTTGTAGACAGCAGTGACAACACTAGAAGAATAATGACAGGAGCTGCATTTCTCGGGTGCTTATTATGTGAAAGGGATTATCCCGAGTGTATCACACATGTCATCCGACCATCATGGCCACACCCATCTTGGGTTTATGGCTAAGCACTGAAGGGCAGAAAGGTTGAGGGAGGGCCTTGCCCAATCACACAGCTAGTAAGTGATGCAGTCTCACTAAGGAGCCCTTAACTGAGGACTGAGGGCGCTCTCCAGCTGTGTCACTTGGTCTGCTAGCTCAGCGCCTGGGGACCCCTTCCCCACTGGTCAGCAGCAGCCTCAGTGTGAGTAATTCCACCAAAGGAGTCCAGTCATTCTGCTCCACAAACTAGATCCCCGTGAGAACCATCATGCCTTGTTGACAGAAGACAGCCTAATTAAAACAAACAAACAAACAAAAAAACCAGCCTGTAGACGTGTAATCCTAGCTACACAGGAGGCTGAGGCAGGAGAATTCAAATCCAGCCTTGGCCGGCCAGGGATTTAGCTCAGTGGTTCCATTGCCTGCCTCGCAAGCACAAGGTCCTGAGTTCAATCCCCAGTACCAAAAAAAAAGGTCTTTTGATTAAAATGGGGAGGACATGGGCCAGGGGTTTAGCTCAGTGGTTTCGCCATCTGCTACCCAAGCACAAGGACCTGAGTTCAATCCCCGGTACCAAAAAAAAAAAAAAAAAAATGGGGAGGACAGTGTCAAGATATTTACAAAAGGAAAACTAGTTCAGAATGAAGTAACATTTACAAAAATTATTCTTCTGTAACCATAATGAAGCCACTTCAAGCTCTGAAAACTTTGGCTGTCTTCTTCCACTCCTGCCCGTTTCTCCCATCATCCTCCTGCCCGGGTTCCTCATGGACGCTGACTGCTTCACCTGTTCATTCGGAGGACGTTTCCTTCTGATGGCCACCAGGCTTTCAGCTCAGGGGAGGCCACAGCTTGCTCTGAGATCAGACAGCGGGTTTCCTCCTTGAGATGGGGTCTGCGTGTCGAAGTTGTCAGCTCAGGGCAGGGCCAGCGGCAGGAGTACCCTCCGCCGGGGTCTCCCATGGGGCCTTTGGGTGTTCCCAGATGCAGTCACATGTGGAGACTTTCAGGCTGGAGTCTTGGTCAGGGGATGCTTATGCTTGTTGTTTGTGCTAGCAGCTGAAAACCTGGCCTGGATTTTAGCAGAGAAAGCAGAGTGCTGGCTGGGTGTGGTGGCATGTGCCTGTAATCCCAGCACTCAGGAGGCTGAGGCAGGAGGATTGCTGTGAGTTTGAGGCAAGCCAGGGCTACATAGCAAGACCCTGTCTCAAAAAAAGAAAAAGAATGAAGAGTGCTTGGGCCCACAGTGCTGGCCGGCAGGGCTCATGGAGGGCAGGCTGCCTCTCTTCTACTAGCCTGTCCATTGGATGAGTTGTGTTTCTTTTTTGGGGATCAAACTTGGGACCTTGTGCTTTCGAGGCAGGCGGCAGAACCACTGAGCTAAATCCCCAGCCCTCTTTCTTAATATATTCATCATGGGACTCCATTTCCTTAATATGAGCCTATGGGGCTTTTCAAAGTTCAGAGTAGTGACTGCAATTCTTTTCCTGTTCCCAAGTTGGGAAAACCCATCTGTGTAGAGAGAATTTCTTCCTGAACTTTCCTTTGAATCTTCATTATCATCTATTTCACTTTTCCTGAGGAAATTGCAATCTCATGTCTGCAGATCTTCTCTGGCAGAGAAAGGATTTTTTTTTTTTAGCAAAACATTTATTGGTACTTTTTTTTTTTTTTGGTGCCAGCACCAAAAAGAAAGACTTGAAAGTGCGATTGCAGGGGGAAGGAGGAGGGGACAGAGAATTAAGATGTGTCAGGTGCCACCCCCCACGCCACCAGGACTCACTAAGTACCGCCAACACGGACTCATCCGAATAAAAACGAGAACAGAAGAAACCACGATTTCAGGACTTCAAGCGAGGGGAGGGCGGAAGACAAGAGCAGCTTGGAAAGAGAGAGGGTGAAGGGACGAACGAACGGGAAGAGGGAAGGACCGGAAGACGGAGCACAGAATGGAAAGGAAAGGAAGCGAGCTGCAGCGAGGCCTCACCGCCGGTCCAGGGTGCGGTAACACTGGCGGATCCAGCCCAGAGGCGGCACCTGGGCCCTGCTTGTGCCTCCGCTCAAGTGAACGAGCAGATAATTTTCAGCCACCAGCAGTTCCAGGGTCCCCACCAGATACCTGGGGTGGGGGGATAATATCGCAGGGAAGGTGTGTGGGGGCCCAGGGAGTCCGAGAAAATTCATGTAGCTGCTAATCAGCTCCTACTCTTCTTTTTTTTTTTTTTTTGGTACAGGGGATCGAACTCAGAACCTTGTGCTAGCAAGGCAGGCAGTGAAACCACTGAGCTAAATCCCCGGCCCTGGCCTTGAACTTTTGATCTTCTTAACTTAGCCTCTCAAATAGGTGAGGCCTGTATCACCATGAATACTTTAACCTTTCTTTCTTTTTAAAAAAACAGGCCATGCTATGTAGTTCAGGCTGGGTTTGAATTATGTAGCCTAGGGTGGACTCAAACTTGCAGAGATCCTCCTGCTTCAGCCTCCTGAGTACTGGGATGACAGGTGTGTACCACCACGCCCAGCTCAGCTGGCTTTTTATTAATATTTTCTGTAAACTCTAGGATCCTTTTGTTTAATACTTCCATTATCTGTTTAGTTATATCTGCTATGATCTTTTTTAAAGGGGTTTCATTTTAAACAGAAACATTGTAACAGGAATAGTCTCAGTCTACATTCTGTGTCTCTCACCACTTCCCAGTTTGCCCTGAAGCCAGACTGCATTGAAATGTAGATGAGCCGTTCCTAGTTTAGACTGTCTGGATCAAACCTGTTCCACTCATCAAGAACACAGCCCAGGGGAAAGTCAGTGAAATCCACGAGGTGGCGGTGGCTCGTGGGGCCTTGGTCTCCGAACCTGAACTTTATTCCTGGTCGGCTACACCAAATGTAATTGGGTAGCTCCTTGTAATAGTGGCTCGCCAAATAAACGTTATCAGGTTTCGGGTTGCTCACCTCTCCTGGAGTTGGATTCCAGGTTCTTCTCATCTCAAACAAAGACTAGAACAAAATGAGCAAAAAGCAGTGGCCAAGTTTCTTTGAAAAAGTGAAAGTGAAGTGTGAGGGAGAAACTGGCTCAGTAGTGTGAGCTTGGGCTGAGTAAAAGAGGGAAAAGCAAGATAAAAGTACACCTTGAAGAAAGCCAGGTGGGCTGTCCTTAGGACAGCCTATCTCCTGTGATCCTGCTGAGCACTTATTTGATCTGCTTTTTAATCTCCTGTTATCTTTTATTTATTTTTTGAGACAGAGTCTCCCTGTGTACCCCAGGCTCACCTTGAACTCTCAGGGATCCCCCTGCCTCAGCTTTCTGGGGTGCTAGGATCACAGGCGTGTGACACCACACCGGGCCTATCTTACCAAATAATTTGGGTGTTTGGCTTTTGCTTTCCTCTTCCTTGATGCCCCCAGGTCATCTCTGGGGGAGTTGGGGGTTTCTGAAGGCAGTCTGTCACCTTGTCTTCTTACAGTGTATTTCTATTGTTTTTTGTTCAGTTTGTTTTGTGCTTAGGTTTACAGGCAATCGCTGGTATCCAGATCTCTTTTAGTCTGCTTGTGAGTGATGCACTCTGGGCAGGGCTAACCATAGTCCTTTGCCTGTGTCTGACGACCTCTGTTCATCTGGGAGGGGGCGATGCACTGCAATTGCCCAACACCCAGTTGTCCAGGAATAGACTGCAGTGTAGTTAATGTCACGAAGGTAACCCAGGTGTTAGCATAGTGAAAACTCATTAATAGCAACAACTATGTGACCCTGAGAATACCAAGCAAATCAGCAACAATACCATCATCCAACACAAATCAAATATTGACATACCATAAGGTCCAATAATGTACCACCCTTAACTATAGAAAGAAATCCACAATTCTAGTACAAAAAATCCACAATTCTAGTACAAACACTAAGACAACCCAGTTTTTTGTTGGTTTTTTTGGAGACAGGGTCTCACTATGCAGTGCAGGCTGGCCTTGAACTCACTATGTAGCCGAGGGTGCCCTTAAACTCAAGGTGATCCCCCTGCTTCAGCTTCCTGGAGTGCTGGGATTACAGGCATGCACCACCACACCCAGCCCAAAACAACCCAGATATTGACATATAGCAAATCTGTACTAAGTGCAAAACTGTATCTCCACTAATGATAGAAAGGAATTCAACAGTAATTGAACTGTAATTGAAAGGGAGGATCAAGAAGTGAGACAAAGGACCTTATTAAAAAGTAGAAGGATTTTTACAAAATTGGGAAAGGTAACAGAAGAAAACAAATGAGAACTAGAAATTCTCTGCACTTTTGAATGAGTGGTTTTCTTCTGGAGCCACAGTTTTGGAGTACAGCAAGTCAGTTTTCTCTGCCTAGCCTTTATAGCCCATAGTTTTGCCTGTTTATCCCAGGCTGTGGCAATGTCCAAGCCAAGAAAGAGGGGTCCCTGCTTGCACCAGCAGGTAGGAAAGCAATCAGATCCCAAATCTGTGCTAGATGAAGGCAGCAGGGCAAGGGCTCAAGCACTCAGTGCTGGCACCTTCAGACCCTGCACAACTCAAGCTGGGCCTGGGCTCCCACTGCAGAGGTCTGGCCTCATCTCCTTGGCCTGCACTCAAACCCCTCAGGGAGTCTCTTTTCAGTCTGCTCCCTGTCCAGCACTGTCTCCCGTGTCTGCCTCTCACCCAGTCACTGTGGGAGGGTAACATGGTGAACCCTGAAGTGAAGCTGTCCTCAGCTGTTCTGAGTCTCACATTCAAACAATCAACCTTTCTGGGAATGGTGCCCTGCCAAGCACTCTGGCAACATGGTGGGCACCTGTACTGGGATCCCTGCCTAGCTGTTGCCCCCTGTGTGGAGGGAGTCCCCTCAGAGTAAAACCCAGCACTGTCCCTGTAGACCATGGGTTCCCCTTGGAGCCTGTGTGGCAAGCCCAGTCCACTGCCACCATCTCTCCCAGAGCCCCCAGTGCTCACCTTCCCTCTGCAGAGTGGGACTTCCCTCCTGATGAGCGAGAGCCTTCAAGAGGCTGCTTTGTTTCCTTCTCTGTTCTGTGGTCTGTCGCTCAAGCTTCTCTGCAGCTTTTAATTTTTCTATCAGTTCCTTCCCAATTCCTGGAAATCTACTTCTCTTTTTTTCTTCCCTAAATTATAGTTTTCCAGTGTCTCTAGATTCTTTTTGATCAAGAAAGCCTGGATTATTGTAATGAGTCAACCCTAAGATGCATTTGAAGAGGTATAGTTATCTGTCTAAACTCGTCATAAAAACAAATTTGAAAAAAATAAACAAATTTGAAGGCTGGGTGCGGTCATGCATGCCTGGAATCTCAGCACTGGAGAGCTTGAGGCAGGTGGATCTGAATGGCAGGTGGATGTGAGTTTGAGGCCACCCTGGGCTACATAGTGAGTTCAAGGCCAGCCTGCATTGCATAGTGAGGCCCTGTCTCAAAAAATAAATAAAAATTTTTTTAAAAAGCAAAATAAAGGGCTGGGGATTTAGCTCAGTGGTTTCACTGCCTGCTGTGCAAGCGCAAGGACCCAAGTTCAATCCCCAGTACCAAAAAAAAAAAAAAATGAAGGGAGGAAAAAGCAAAATAAAATTAAAAATAAGGGTTGGGTGGTATTGCTCAGTGGTAGAGTGCCCCTGGGTAAATACCCATTACTGTAAAAATAAAAACAAAAAACTTATGGGCTGGGGGTGTAGCTCAGTAACAGAACATTTGCCTAGCATGGGGAATGTCATAGGAAATGTTCAATCCCCAGCACTACACACTCACAAAATCAAACTGTCAGCAGTAAATGATTTTAGAGTGTAATTCCATTATAGGGCTATATTTTGGGGGGTTTTTTGTTGTTGGTGGTGATGGTGGTGGTTTTTTTGGTACCGGGGATCGAACTTGGGTCCTTGCGCTTGCGCAGCAGGCAGTGAAACCACTGAGCTAAATCCCTGGCCCTAGGGCTATATTTTTGGATGTAAATGCTGGATTTATCCTAGAAGTAAGAGTCACAAAATAATACAGGCTCCTTTTCTTGAATCCTCCCCCAACCCCATACTAGAGACTGAACTCAGCACTTTGTGCTTGCTAGGCAGGTGCTGTGCCACTAAGCCACATCTCCAGTCTTTCCTGAGTATTTTTAAAAGGAAAAATTGGCTGGGGAGGTAGATGAGTGGTAGAGCACTTGCCCAGCATGTGTGAGTCCCTAAGTTCAATCTCCAGCATCAAAAAAAAGAGAGAGAGAGAAAGAAAAAAATTTTTCAAATACTGCTGTACTTTTTAACTTTATTTTGTGGTACTGGGGATTGAACCAGGGCCTTTGTGCTAAACTACACCCCCAGTCCTTTTTATTTTTTTCATTCACAGGGACTCACTAAGTTGTCCAGGCTAGCCTCAAACTTGTGATCCTCCTGCCTCTGGCACAATAGCTAGGATTGCCGGGCATGGTGGTGCATGCCTATGATCCTGGCATTTGGGAGCCTGAGGCAGGAGGATCACCAAGAGTTCCAGACCAGCCTGGGCTACAAAGTGAGACCCTGTCTCAAAAAAACCCCAAAGTAAACCAAATAGCCTGGATTACAGGCAAACACCACTGTACCCAGCTTAGAGCATCCTGGGTTGGGGGGGGGGGTTGGTACCAGGGATCAAACTTGGGACCTTGTGCTTGCGTGGCAGGTGCTGGAACCACTGAGCTAAATCCCCAGCCCTAGAGAATCCTGTTTTAATATCACTTTCTATTCTTTTTTGGTGGTGGGGACTGAACCCAGGCCAGGGCTCAAGCATGCAGAGCATGTGCTGTACTGATGAACTGTATCCCTAGTCCCCTCCCCACCCTTTTTTGAGACAGGGTCTTGCTAAGTCACTAAATGCCCAAACTAGGCTTGAACTTGTGATCCTCCTGCCTCAGCCTCTCAGCACTCAGCTCTGGGGGAAAGAAGCCATACACAGTGGCAGGATGAAGGAAGACACAAGAAAAATATTCAAACTCCCCTTCAGAGACTGACCTTTCCTGCTGTACCATCTTAGGAGGATGGAAGGACAAAACTTTTGCCCAGCAATAATATGTATACTTTCTTCTCTTTTCCCTTGGCCCCACCGCACCTCCACTTCCTACACCAAACCTCCCTGTGACTCATGTGAAAGTCTTACTGTCTAAATATTCCCTCCATGTCCTCCTTTCTCCACCAGGAAACTGAGCCCAATTACCAAGTCCTGATGCGCATCCTCGTCTCCCGCAATGAGACTGACCTTCTAAGCATCCGGGCTGAGTTCAAGAAGAAATTTGGGGAGTCCCTCTACTCTTCTCTCCAGGTGAGACTTGGCCCAGCCTTGGCCTGGAGCACAGTTTCAGTCCTCCCGTCCCCACCCATCCCGGCCCACCCAAGCATATTCTTGGCCTGAGAGCTCCTGAGGAGGCTGATTTGGCTATCTGAGCCCCAGGGAGGGGCCTGCCCTGATAAGTTGTGCAGCAATGTAAGAAAGGAGTCAGTCAGATGCTGGATGCTGGGCCGAGGCACTGTGGTCTCACTAACACCGGCTCCTGTCTGCAGCGTGCCGTGAAGGGAGACTGCCGCCCGGCCCTGCTGGCCCTGTGCAGAGCTGAAGACCTTTGAGACCTCCCTGCCGTCCACCTCACGGGACATTTATGAAGCTGGGTCCCTGTTTGGGTGGGCCTGCAGGATCAGTCTGGCGTCCGAGCAGAACCTTGCCTGCAGCACCACCTGTCTTTTAAACCCCTCAGCTCCCCTCATGTCAGAATACTGTCTGCACCTGAGTTCTCTTGCTCATCTTGGGTGTGCGGTAATGGGACATCTTTGAGGACATCTTTGATAGTTTCTGTCCTCCTCATCCTCTCGGACCCTGGCCAGAACCTCACTGAGGTACTTGAATTCTTTTGGCAAATCTCAGTACTGTTGTTTGTGTTCCCTAATTTGAAGTTTGGGTGGAACAGGACATGAACCAGGAAGAAGCCTTCAACTTGGTGCACCTTCAACGTGCACTTGGCTGGCCAACAGGAATCCTGGATCTGCCCAGTGCTATAGTTTCCAACACGCTCTGCCCCCGGGGACTCCCCCTCCTCATTGCCCTCTCTTCCTCAGGAAATTTCAGGCAAAATCACTGAAGAACAAGGTCAGAAATGGTCAGAGGTAGCAAAAGACTTTCTGTGGGAACTGGGAACAAACAACCCTCTCCAACCTGGGAAATCTCAGTAACTTGCCCAATTCATCTGTCCACTGAAGGATGTGGAAACCCACCTCTGAAGCAGGATTTCCCATAGAACACCTATCAAAAATATAAACAAAAGGGCCAGGGATTTAGCTCAGTGGTTCTGCCACCTGCCTCACAAGTGCAAGGACCCAAGTTCAATCCTGGGTACCCCCCCCGCCCCAAAAATATATATACATATATATACACACAAAAGAAGCTGGGCATGGTGGTGCATGACTGTAATACCAGCACTCAGGAGGCTGAGGCAGGAGGATCGCCTAGAACTTTAGGCCAGTCTGGGCTACATAGTGAGACCCTCTCAAAAACAAAAACAAATCAAAACACAGAAACGTAAAATAGAAACAAGGTTCTCCCTGCTGGCTTGATTAGAAATGACAGGCAACCTCCTGCCTCTCCCCTCCTCCCCCTTTCTGCATTCCTCCATTGGGTCAAATACCTAACCCTACCACTACAGGGTAAAGCAAACAACAGATCTCAGGAAAGAAGTTTTATTTCCAAACCCTAGGCAGCTATTACAAATAATAGAGATAGAAATCCAAATCAAACCCTGAAACAAATGGAAAGAGGCCTGCTGAGTAACCAGGAGCCCCCAGGCAGGCCAAAAAGGGAAGGAGAAGTAGGAGAGATCGCACCGTTCCGGGAAAGGGAACTGGAAACTAGAAATCTTCACCCCACCCATGCCTGGATGGGAGGAAGAGAAGGCAGCAGCACACGAGGGCAGCAAGGGTGTTGCTGAGTCTGTCCTTGCCTGCCCTGACCCCAAGTCCATGAATAAGTTACCCTGTGTCTCAGGGGCCGAGGTGGGGGAGCAAACAAACCACTCACAACCTCGGAACCGGAGCCGGAGCCGAGGGCTACAGCAGAATGCAGTCGGACTGGTGCTTCGGCCTCTGATGCCACTCCCTGGCTGGCCGTCCAGATGTGGTCCCTCTTCCCTGTATGGGATTTAACTGGTGGTCACCCAACACCTTTGGAAAGGCACAAGATTCTAGAGAGGGTCAGGATCAGGGACAGTGGGGAAAGAAGGCTAGGAGGGGGTGCCAGGGAGGTCAGGCAGGAGCGGGGCCTGCAGAGGGAGGAGCGCTGGACTCACCTGGGGCAATGGGGCTCGAGCCTGCCCAGGCTGCTCCTGTTCTGCTTGCTGCTGTTGATACTCCTCCTGCTGAAGTTGCTGGGCCAGCTCCAGGTCAGTAAGGCCCAGCGCACCTTGTGGCTGCTGCTGCTGCTGCAGGGACAAGGCAATCAGGTAATCCTGGAAAGAATGAGAATTAACAAGGTGAAACTGGGTGACAATTATAACCCCAGCACTTGGGAGGCTGAGGCAGGAGGATCTCCACAAGTTTGAGCCCAGCCTGGGCTACATAGTGAGACCCTGTCTCAAAAAAACAAAAACAGAGTTACGAGGTGAGGTGAACAGGGTCTGGGGGACTGAGATTCAGGCTAGGTTTCCAAACCAGATTGTCCTTCAAATTCTCCAGTTCCTTCTCCCTCAGAGCAAAACAGAGCCAGTGTAGTCTGTGTGGTGCCAGAAAATACAAACCAAGGAAGGAGATGGTCCACAGGGAGCAGGACGTGCAGGAGCATGGACGTCAGCTGTCATGGCCCCCAAATGATAAAGTGCATGCAGCTCACTTATGGCCCCACGCTCTGAGGCCAGCGAGCTCTCTGCACCTTCCCCAGAGCCCACACACACCTGGTCGACCTGCAGCTGCTCCTCTGGGGAGCTCTTCCCAACTTCTCCTCCAGGCGCCTTGCCCAGGGAATGGCTGAGGTGGAAGTCGGAGTCACAGAAGCAGCTGTCCCCATCCACATTGTGCAGGCTCTCCCACACCACCTGCTCCTCCTGTAGAAAACCCTGGTCTGTGACCAGCAGGTACAAGTGACTCTGCAAAGAAAAGGACAGAGCCCATCAGTGGGACAGGTGATGTGGGCGGCTTAGTGCCCTCGGTCATCTGAGACACAGCTAGAGACCTCTGAACCAACTGGCGTGCTGGCTGGAACGTGTGTCCGTTCACAGATGTGTGTGACCATGGGGAGAGAGGAAGGCCGCCGAGAGCAGGGCCAGGTGGGTGACAGTGTGGTGTCATCTTGGCCGGAGTGGAGTCCTCGGGCTGAGGTGCCCCTGAGACCCTGCTTACACTCCCTGGTTCTCTGGGCCGCTCGATGGCGATGGGGATAAACCCTTGAGAACCAGAGCCCTCTCCCTCCTCTACCAAGTTCCTAGAGAGCTCTGGCGATTTCTAACTCTGGAAGACTGCAGTGTTCTTCAGAAGTTCTGCTTCTCCTTTCTGGGAGAGGGTTACACTTTCCTGTCCCACTAAGGGCAGGGTGAGCAGAAATGACAGGTGTCATTTCCAGGCCGAAGCACCAAGTGTGAACGCATAGTGACTGGCTTTCTCTCCCCACATGTCCCAGATAATGGCTCTTTGTCAGCCTGGGTCCCAGAGTGAAGATGGCGTGTGGGACAGAATGGTACCAAGCTGTGGGGGAATGCGGCGTGAATGAGAAATCAGCATTTGTCATGGGAAACTGAAAGACGTTAAGGCTCAGTTGTGCCCACAGACTAACCTATCTTACCCTGGCTGAGACTGACCCGGGAGAGAAAGTTGGGGAAAGGACTGCCCTCTGCCCTCTGCCCCCAACCCCTCCACACCTTGTGCTTAGTCATAGTGCTGAAGTGGTTGTTCCGGAAGAAGACGCTCAGTTCCCCCTCCTTGGCAGCTGCAGTGAGCTCACACAGGCCGTGGTAGGTCAGCTGGGCTGCAGTGTTCTCAAGGAACTGCTCTGCGATCAGGCCTGCCAGAAGGCACAAGACAGCGACCTCAGCTTCAATCCAAAAGCCCCGGATGGAGTGGGAAGAAAGAGGTCAGGAGCGTGGCTCAGTGGGAGAGCATGCATGAGGCCTGGGATTTAATCCGTGCCACCATCAAAAAACAAACGAAAGCCGGGGATTTAGCTCAGTGGTTCCTGCGCCTGCTTCGCAAGCACAAGGTCCCACATTCGATCCTCGGTACCAAAAAAAAAAAAAAGGAAATAGAATCCAGGATGGGAGGGATATTCCCAAAATCCTGTCAGAAGCCCTCTGGAGTCCCACCTTCTGAAATCCCCTTGGTGGGGCTCTGCATGTAGCTCAGGGGCCAGGCGCTTGGCTAGTGTGCCCAAGGCTCGGACCTAGTGTGAGCAGGACAAGTGGGGTGTGGTGGCAGTAAGCTGTGAACTCAAGCAGCTGTCCTTCCCTTCACGCAAGATAGTGAGGGACCAGGGCTCTCACCTTCCGTTACGAGGTTGGGGTCACTGGCGTGTTTGCAGGTGATGATCTTCTCCACCAGCTGGTTATAACTCAGTTTCCCAACTGCGCTCACAGCCTCAGGACTCTTCATGGGGTGTAGAGTGGATGGGACGAAAAAAATTGAGTGTTCTTTGTTTTGTATTTTAAGGAAGGAAATGAACAAAGCCCACAAGGACTGCAGCGCTATGATCAAAGGCCCCTGGATTTTTGATGTCTAAAGAACAGATCCTATTTGCACATAATCGGATGTATTAGAAGACTGTCTCAAAAAAGGTTAAAAGTTGGCTAGGGATTTAGCTCAGTGGTTTTGCTGCCTGCTGCACAAGCACAAGGACCCGAGTTCAATCCCGGGTACCAAAAAAAAAAAGGTTAAAAGTCAAGGAATTCTGCAAAAGGTCTAGCCTCCCAAGCTGTGCCCTCCCAGCCAGTGGCCAATATAACTCTGGCCTCTCTAACCCCACCTCACCAAATCGGGCCGGCCTCACAGCCTGAGCTGTAGAAGGCT